CGTTTTTTTGTTGAGTGAAGTGAGAAAAAATGGTGTTTTCGTTGCCCGCGTTTTCATACATGATCGCGTTGATTGTCGACGCGTTCCTGATATTCTTTGCAATATTTCACGTGAGTACGAGTTTTTTTTTCTCAAAATTTTACAACGTGATTTCGGCGTGACTTGATTCAAGCAAAATTTTCCTTAGAAAATGATGAGATCTCGTGGCCTTTTTTTTCTAGATTCAGGAAAAAATGCGTCGCCTAGCGAACAGGTAGAAATAAGGTAGAATTAGCATTAAGTTGAAAAAACTTTCAATGTTGATCGAGGAAAAGCATTCTAAAAATTGACATGCATCATTGTTTCGTTGAGTATCCTCCGATTCGGGCTGGGATTTTTCCTTCAATTATTCAACCATCTCGCAACAGTTAAGAAATTAGAAGTTTTGTCTGGGAACCAGTTTTATGTATTCTTTTCCCGAATTTAGTCGTTGAAATTTCTACAGTATCAGGAATTCGTATAAAACTTAAAACCAACATCTTCACAACCGGGTAGAATGTGATGCCATCATTTTTATAAATGAAGAGCCAATTGCTGAAAATGGGTAGTTACGATTCATGCATTGAAAAAAATTGGAAGTTTTCGAGTATTCAAAAGCTTGCGAAATTTCGCATCAGCTGACTCGATTTTTGCGTTCGTCTCTCCTCAGATAATTGCGTTTGATGAACTCAAGACGGATTACAAGAATCCAATTGATCAGTGCAACAGTTTGAACCCGGTAAGCAGTTTTACAGTGTCATTGAACGTTTTTTTGAATTGACGATGTTCTTTTCAATAGCTGGTGTTGCCGGAATACTTGATGCATATGGCGTTCAATTTATTATTGCTAATTTCCGGTGAATGGGTGACAGTTCTGATCAATGCTCCGCTGATCGCATACCATGTTTTGAGGTAAGTTTTTTTGTGTGTCATCATTTTTGGATGGAATTCCCGGCGCATTCCTGGATACAGATGCGAAAGAAAAACCCCGTTTTGATGTTTGTAAAAAGTCCTTTTTAGACGGGCCTTAATTTTAAGGTACTTGAATACGAAATTCCATGCATACGTAATGAACACATTTTCAGTCATCGATTACTGATGAATTAATTCTTGTCGTTTTGCCCAAGGTTTCCTTTGTATCATGTGGGGAAAATATCTAACAATTCGAACTACCCGTAAAAAAATTATTTTTCACATGGTAAATTTTTTTCGAAAATGCTGGAAAACTAGCCG